ATTTATGTGATTAATTTTTTTTAAACCTCCTTGATGAAAATTCTCCCTCTGCTACTGATCCAAATGAGTAGACACTATTATGTGTAAGCAAATATTTTTATTTCAAAAGATTGTTTTATTATATATATTTACAAAGTGAAATAATTAACTTGTTTTGAAATCATTATTTGGAGAAATGACAATTTCTTTTATTAAGGCAAGATTTTATTTCATCCTTACACCTTTACTTCCATATGTCACTTTGCACGTAAGTATTTGGACAAGTGGCAGATACAATTTCTTTCAAACACTATAAATACTACTATGTTCTTTAAGAAGATGGTGAAAAGAACAACACTCTACATGATCACGTGTTTTCACCATTTCTTTTGTTAAAAAAATTCAAAGTAGCAATGGTTTTCATACTGACAAAGAGTAGCTAACATAAACTCATTTTTTCTCTTAGATAAAGAGTAGTTCTACATAAAGAAATTAATTAAACACACAATAAGCAAAGAAAGGTAATGTGAAGCAAAATCTCAGTTGTAATATGCAATTGAGATGTAGAAAGTAAAATGTGATAAGAGCATAAAGCAATCAACAAATACAAAGTGTTAATACCTTCAACTCAAGATATCAGTAGCGTAATATGCACATTGATAAGTTGACTTCATGTCTGCTGAAAAAAAACAATTGAAGATGAAGCATGACATTTAGGAGAAACTGAATTATATTACTCTCTATAATGAACCAACAATGTTTGTAAATACATGACAAGCAAAGATACAATCAAAAAGTTGAAGTTATATTAGGTTTTTTATTTTCCATTTGATTGACCTTTTTAGATTATTTTCCCTTTTTTTAATCTGTATTTTTTTTAAAAAAAATCCTTAATAAATTTCTCTTATATAATTTCATTTGTTTTTAATTTGTTCCAACGTTATTTTTCTATTCTCCCTTTTTTACTTATCTTCCTTTTCATTTTTTTCATCTTTGCTTATTCAATTCCACCGAGAAAACATCAAAATGAACTATCATCACACCTTAAAATAATTAAGTTAGCTTATCTTTAACTTTTAATAATATATGGAAAATGTCAAAAATCAATTCTCTTAATTAATTTTTTCTTATTTTCATGATTCATGTTTTATATTAAAAGTCTAAAAATAACTTCATAATAATTTTGATGGTATTTCGTCGATAAGTGCATCCATGAACACACTTGAATTTTTTTTGACAATTATTCTTGATGCTAACTTTTATCACTGATCTTGCTCCTATAATTTCATTGAAAAGTTTCAAATTAATTTTTCTATTTTATATGGGCAAACTACATAAATTCCACTAGTTTAGGTCATAATTACTAGGATTTACAATCATTTCAAATATTATTTCTTGTACCATATTTCTTCCTTTGGATACATGTATCATTTACTCGTCAGATATATGTAATCCACAGTTTTAAAAATTGAGATACATGGTTTATTTGTTTGAATAGAATTGTTATAATTGATTTCCTAATTAAAGGAGTAATTGAAGATCTTCAGAATATATGAACAATTAATTTTGAAATTTAATTTATTGAATCTCAAAATATAAGGCGAAAATCAAGGAGTATATATATATTTAGTTGATTTCATTTTATTACCTATAAATAATAAATTTATTAATATTATTGATAAAATTCCAAAACATTTATACTTTATTATGTAATTTGATTTATTTATTTTATTATTTTTAAAATAATAAATTCATTAATTTAATGTATCTAATATCAGTATATGATGTATCTAACAAACTAAACACTTAGGTAAATGAATGTACAGTTGCACGTATACATTTATATGTATAATGAACACATACTATACAATTGCACATATACATTTATATGTATCATGGACATGTACTAGCCTCTTAGATACATTAAAAACTAATGGAATTTGATCAGATGGGCATAAATACATACAATCAGTGTATCGTGATGACATATAAATCTTCCATCTGAATAAGTATACTATGATGTATTGGCGTACAAGTACATTCATATGTATCATGGAAATATCTAATATTAATTTCATGTATTTGTTATATGTATCTAATATTAATTTTATGTATCTATTTTTATGACCTAGTATAATTTCATGTATCTATTTATATATATCTAGTATTAATTTGATTTATCAATTTCATATGTTATTTCCAAAAACATGTATTACAAATACATGGTAAGTGTGTATACATATATATATATCCAAAAACATGTATCTCGTCCTCCTTCTTCTTTTAGTCAAATTTTTTACTCATATCCAATTTGTTGGTAATAAAGAACTATCAAGTATCGAATAGCGACATTCAAGGCAAAGAGATGATCGATGATGGTTTAGTTTTTGCATCATATAAATCCCTCATAAACGACGAAAGTAGTTCCATGCTTATCCTTAGTTATGTCAATATGAATCTGCCTCATAACACCGTATTTGCCAAAAATATATAGTACATCACCTCGCTCATGATGATGAACGTATAGACCATGTTAACCTCCAGCAATAGTTGAGTATAATCCCTTTGGAGACTTAACATCGTCATAGTTTTGCCAGAATAAGAGAGATAACACTACTAAAAAAATTGGGGGAGGGGGGGGGGGGATGACTGACTGTGTCACTTGAAAAAAAGACGAATTTTGTAACATTGTCCGTCGCTTTTAGTAAAAATAATTATCTGACAAAAAGCGACGGACAGTATCTCATAATCCCTCGCTTTTTTTAGCGGATCTTTGCATCCAAAATATGTATAATGAAAAGTTATTTTTCTAATATAAATAGCAACGTCACATCGCTTTTATTAAAGTTAATTTAATATAAATTATAATGTTAATGACGATGTCCGTCACTTTTAATTTATTTTAACCTATTTTTTCTTACTATGGCGACAGAAAACATCTTTATGTGCGTTGCTTTTAGTTAAAATACGTGGTCAACTATTTTTAAAAAGTGATGGATAGTGTATTTTAATCCGTCGCTTTTTGGTCAAAATGTTGGTCAACTTTTTTTAAAAAAGTATTGGATATTGAGAAGTCTAAAATAGAATCTCAATTTTTCCCCATTTGTGAAACTCTCTCCACTCCTCACCACCACCACTGCCGCTGAACCCGCCGCTCGCTAGCAGCCGCCTGCTTTTCCTGAGCTACCACTGCCGCTCACTGTTGATGCCACCACCGCCTCTGCCTCTCCTCTCTCTTCAATATCTCCATCTCCTTTAAGGTTAGGGTTTAATAATACATCAAATTTTTTTTCAAATTGAACTATAATTTATAATTGTTAGCTATTTAATTTTAATTAGTTTATTGAATTTGTGTTTATTGATTGTTAGTTTGAATTAGGATTATTAGTTAATGAATTAATTGAAAATATTATTGTTAGGGTTAGTTTGAATTAGGGTATCTTAGCATTTGATTGATTTATGTATTTCTTGAGTTAATTAGTTTTATTTTGAAATTGTAAGATTAGTTTGAATTAGGGTATAATTTAATGTTTGACTTTCAATATTATTTGAGTTTTTTTTTTTATTTTAGTATTTTAGGACTCACTAAAATTTGAATTATTATTGATATTTTAGCCTAATAGTTTGAATTTGGGATTATGAATAACTAGCTATTTTGAATTTAGGATTTTAGCACTAGTCATGGGACGATTTTAAGACTAGTTTGAATTTGGAATTTAGGACTAGTTTCAATTATACTTGAGATTTTAGGACTACTAATAGTTCTAATTTGAAAATTTAGAACTAGTTCGATTTTTTAATTCTAGGAGTATATTTTAAATTTGTAATTTTAAGATTAGTTTAGATCGTTTAGATTGAATTCAAGGAGTATACTTTGAATTGACAGTGTTTAGATTGTTGCTATGTCGGCTCAAATAGAAAACCTACAGCGGCACTAAAAGAGTCGGAGCAGAGATGAGTAGTTGAACAACAAAGCATGAGAAATATCGTTCAGCAAATCAAAGAACAAGTGATGAATCTCGCTCGTCGACTATATACTTCGACTTCCAAGAAAATCGATGACGACAGTACTGATTATGAGGATGACTGCATTGAACCCACTCTCTAGTTTAGATCTTTGGACATTTATGAACTTTTTGAAATTTTGAAACATATTTTGAAAGACTTTATAAGTCTTTAGATTTTGATTTAGATACTCTTGAATGTTATTTAAAGTTTCTTATTTTATGTTTTGTGTAGATTGTTTATAATTGTGTGTGTTTGATTAGGTTGAATAATATAGAATTTAACTGAATTGAATTTGCAGGTGGTAACAAATGCGACGGATGACGTGGTTTTGTCTGTCACTTTTCTGTATTTTTAATTTTTTTAAAACCCAGAATTGCGACAGATAACATGGCTATGTATGCCGCTTTTCTAGATTATTCAAAAAAAATCTAGAAAAGCGACGTATAGGATCCTTTTGTTCGTCACTTTTATGGAATTTTTAAAAATAAAATCTCAACAAAAGCGACGTACTGTCTCTTTTTGAAAATTAAAAAAAATGAAAATGAAAATTGAGTCACGGAATCCGCCGTTTTTGCTAGCAAAAATTTAAAACAATAAAATCAAATTGTGACACATTCCTTCTCTTTTGGAAAAGCTTTGAGCCAGAAAGCGAAGATAGTGATTGCGTCGTGTTTCCGTCATTTTTGGCCAAAAAAGTGACAGACTGTGTTTATTTTATCCGTCTCTTTGACAGTTTCTTAGTAGTGTAAATTTGACCTCTTTTACTTGACAGTTTAGCGGGAAAATGAGCAAGAATCTATTTGATATTAAGAGCATGAAGGAAGGGAGAGAAATGGTAGAAAGGTTGGAATACTATCACGACCCGAGAGTATGCCCTTGAAGATATGACATTCCCTCGAATCATGGCACAATGTACTTGACTTCTAGGAGGTCTTGTACAAGCCCTTAGACATCATTCATTGCATACATGTATGAAAAATATTGTGGAATTAAAAATTTTCACACGAATAATATCTTAAAGTATTTTTCATATAAAATGATGATAAGTCTCAACATATGTCAATCTTAAACTCAAGAATACTTGGGACACGGCCCATACAATCGAAACATAGAAAACAAATGTCTATTACAATACTTTGAACGAAAACAATCTAAAAATATTTTTGTCCTCAAATCAAGTGAGGACAAACCCAACTTTGCTTGAATGAGTCCTAGTTTCGAAGCTTTGCTTCAAGATGCCTCTCACCTTACGCCTACCACCATTCCAATCTCACAACTTCAATCCATAGTCAATTCAACCAACTTAATACACAAATGCTTTTACCAATAGGCATAGTCACCAATTCAATTCAATAGTCACAATATACAATGAATGAAAGATAATACAATATGAATTCATAAATTTAGGACTGTCTACTTACAATTCTAGCATGATTCTTTCATAGTTCAATAGCCCTAATCGAACTACATAAGAATTTAATAACATAGAGACATTGATCAAATCATCCATGAAATAGTCAAAACTAGGGTTGCATGATTTGCAAGGTTTCATAGATTTTTTAGTCTAAAATCATCAAATTTACATCAATTCAATCATAATACAATGATTCAAAATGTTTTATGCAAGAATACATGGCTAGATTACAATTTAGAAATTCATCTTTTTTAGAAGTCTTTGAAAACCACATTTGAAGCTTGAATCCTTGTAGAAAAGAGATTCAAGGATGAAAGTCATACCTTAATTGATGCTAGACCAAGAAAATTGAGAAGATTTGATGGAGAAATCACCCTCCAAGTTCTAAGGTTCCTTTCAAGCTTCAATGGTGCTCTAGAGAGTTCTTTAGGGATTTTGAGTTTTGATTTTGAAATAATGAATTCATCGAAGTGTTTAAGACTTATAAACCCACTTGAAATATCCAAACTACCCTTAAGAAGTCGTCCAACTTATTTTAAGAATGCTAGGTGAATTACCCAAATGCTCCTAGCCTTGGCCGAGACACCTGCAGAATTTCAGCATGTGTCATCGATGGTCCACAATCGACGCCTCGTTGGTCCATCTACGGGACGTTCTAGCAATCTGTCGATAGGATAAGAGGCTCCTCACTTGGGAGATTGATATCAAAAACTAAGTATCAACCTACGCCTCAAATGACGGTGAGTTGATGTATCTCCGTTGATTGCCCCTCGTTGGTTGGGCTGGTTTTGGACAGTTTTGGCTACATGTTGGGTCCTCCTCAAGGACCATGTGGTTGGTCCTTGGGGAGTTTTGTCCGGACGTTTTCAACCCGAATATATTCGTACACATCAATTTCATCCAAAACGAACACGTAAAACTTAACAAAACACACTAAGGCACACAAGCACGTTTCAAGGCAGACCTTTCGATCGTCTTGGACGTTTGACCTCCAAACTTTATGAAACTTTACACACTGCCTATAAACATCATTATAAGTCATTTTATTACTTTAGAACCTCATGAATCAAGTGTAAGGCTCTAGTTTCACCTAAATCATTTTAGAGGTGTTACAAGTATGTGGGGGAATAGAGATACTATTGGAATAGGGGATTGACACAGGAAATGTATATCAGGGACAAAAAATTATTAATTGCAATTGGACCATTAGTTTTAGTATTTAAATATAAAGATAATTAATCAATCATAGTTAAAAGAGTTTTATCTATCTAACTGTATCTTTTAAAATATATGATATAAAATATCAAAAGTGGTAATATATGTAATTGTTTGAAATTAGATGTAATTTTAGTATAAAAGATAGGGATGTATGTCTACTTAAGTAGTTTTTCCATTTTATATATCTTACTAGTGAACTTTTGTTACTTCTCATGTCCCAATTTATTGTTGTATAGATATAATTTTGAGAGTCAATCAATTTTGTTTAAGTCTTTTAGATTTCCAAGTTGTTAGTTTTTGTAATTTATAATACTTTTTAAGTCATTATCAAATGATATATGTCATTTCCTCTAAACCATTTTATGTGTGTCACTCATAGAATTTTGAAACTTAAAAAAAAAAAATATTTACTTTGAACTATTTTAACTTATTAATATTGTAAATTAAAATACAATTAACGCAATTTTCAAATATATAACTGACTTAAGAAATGTAAGACAAAATTAACAAGAAAAAGTGAAGAATTAATGTGATGCACATGAAATTTGTATGATTTATAAATAGTATATGTTATTTCTTCTATCCAACTTTTTTGTCTTTAATAGAATTTTGAGTGTGGATAATTTTATAATACTATTTTTAAATATCATTAATGAACAATCATATAATGTAGCCTTAGTAATGAAATATTAAATTTATTAGTTAACTTTGTTCTACTTGATCTCAAACACAATAACAAAGAAAGCCTAAAATAACTAGAAATGAATAAGTGCTAAATATGTCTACCAAAAAAATATAAATATTATTGATGGAACCTGTGGGTCCGAGTAAGTGCTAACATCGCACTTTAATGCCTTTAAGGCATTAAAAAAGTCTCATATTTCAATATATTTTATAATATGTACCAATGAATTTATAGTAAAAAGGTACAAAAGAAGGGGTAAATAAAGTTTTGAAATATACTGTATTATCAACAAAAGGACACAATAAGAATTAGAGGGGAAAGAAATGATGAAGCGCACAATTTCAAAAGCAAATGGTATAAGCATTGACAACAAGTATAAAACAGATTTGCTAGTAACTTACCAAATTACCCTTGTCTAGGAAGTAAGCATGTTGACGAACACCTGCTTCCTAGACTCTTCTATATATTATATACTAGATTGTCAAAGTCCGTGCTAAGCACGGGCCCAACACTAAAATAATTGTGAAAAAAATTACGCGGTTGAACAAATTTATACTATTTAATGACTCATCATAGTTATATTTAACAATTGTTGGTTTCATTGAGAATAATGAAATATTGCATTAAAGGTAAGCTTTCACATAAAATCTGTTAATATTGTGAGTAACACAAAGAAACGAGCTCCATTGCATAGACAAATGTTAACACCTTTTGAAATAATTTATTCATTTTGTCCCCTCTTTATGAACAGTATTATCCGCAAAAGTTTTTGTTTCAGGTTCATCTTTCATAGAATTATGTAATTAGGCTTTAAAAACTTTGCGCACGCATATTTCACCATTCCCTTGAGAACTGTAATTGCTTCTATTACTGCAAGTTGTGAACAATATGAAACTTAATGTCGCCAATCAAGAGTATACTAAAAAAAAATAATCAACTATTACTCTGCAAAATAGTTATTAGATTGTCAAACAATCACAAAATTGTGAAGTACAACAGAAGAAAATTTGAAAAAAAAAAGCAAATGGATAGTATAACTAAGTACGTTTGTAAAATTCTCATGTCACTATATCAAGCTCAAAAGAACCATACTCTTTTACATATTAAAACAGAGATAAAGGAGTGTGGGTAAAATGTTTTGACTTACTTCCTTTTACCCCATCTCACAGAGAGTTTAAAATCAATTGACTACTTCACTTATAAGAGAAGATGTTTTCAACAAAGAATGTTTTAGAAAACCTTTTGTTCATTTGTTACAGATTTATCTGAGCAATTAGTCTTAAAAGGACCTTCACCCAAGTGCAACGACTACTATTCATGCGCATTTCACTTTTTTTTTCATAAAAAAACAATCCATCCTTTCTACTGTTCTATTTTTGTTACCATTCTTATAAGTTTACTTGATTTACACGCCAAAAAAGAAAGATCTTATAGCAACAATACATATTACCAATGGAGATATAGTAGCATTTACATACTTCAAATAGATGTATGATTCTAAAATCAGCATGTCCTTTTCAAGTCTTACTTTCTCTTTTTGATTGTGAAGAGGCTGAGCAACTTAAAACCTAAAAATACATTTCAACTTATTTTTCAGCTGGTTTTGTAATAAGCTCTCAAACAAGTCAAACTAATATGCCCTTCTACTCTATAAAAATTGGTAGGAAAAGAGAGTGTAAAAACATCTTGGTACATTAAAAAATGATCATTATTTTATCAAGAGTACATAAAAATAACTAATGCTCAATTTTTTGTGGTAGATTCCCATGGTTACTTTGTATGTCATTTATCAAGAATTCTTAATATCATAACATATTAGGTATTTCTGATCAAGCATTTTCACTTGTTACAACAATAGGTTCTTCTCTTACGTAATAAACACTTCTTCATTGTGAGAAAGTTACTAGTAAACACTGAGAAAATTTATTTTTTTTATAAAAAAAAAGACCTAAGTTTTTCCTTCATTATTAACGCAAGGTCCGAAAGTAAATTGAACTTTTTAAGCTCTGCCGACTATAATTTTAATGGTAGCTAGAAAACGTTTACGTCTATATCTAAGTATTCTACTTCCTGGTGGTTTAGTAAGGACTTTAGGAAAAGGTATAACTGCTAGTCGGAAGGCAGGGCTCCTATACTATATCGTAAAGATGGAAAACAAAATTAATAGAGTTTTATTACTACGTGGAAAATGCTAACCTGTATGAATTTGTGCAGGGAGTTTCAGCAATAAAAGCTTTCTATGAACTTCTCAGTCTGTCCAGTTTAAATGTTTTGCATCCTGATGAAAATTATAAACAAACATGTAGCTCCTGTTGAACTTTGTCCTCTGTTGAAGACATTGTAGACTGTTGTTGCATTGAAACATACAGGGAGGTTTCATCAGAGGCAATTCTTCAGGACGTAAGAGACAAAAATATGAATGATCTATGTGATCATATTGATATTGCACAAAGCCATGCCATCAGACCTTCATCACTTGGGCAGTAGCACAAAAACATCACATACTATTAAGTTCTTCCCATGGCAGTGATGTGAAGTTGCTATTGAAATTAGGTGTTGTTTGTTCAGTCAATTTTGTAACATGGTCTTTAGACAATATGACAATTGGACGAGCTATCTTGTAGCATGAGAATTGATGTTGTATAATCTTCTTCAATTTATGCAATCTTCCACACAGTACAATTAAATAGTAGTATAGTAATATATTTGCACTATTGATTTCATAATCTCATAAAAATAGTATAAAGTAACAAAAGCATCCACTTTCACTTATGCTTAGGGTTTACCTATGTTGCTCGGACTCTTCGAAATGCCAAGGGGTGCGTCGGATTCGTCAAAAATAGTGTAATTTTGAAGAATCCGATACGGGTGCGGCATCAAAAGTGAAGAGTCCATGAAACTAAAGGTTTTACCACTTAAAGAAGATTGTCTTTTGTCGTTTACATCTTCAGCATCACATTTATCTCTTTTTGCACACCTCAATTTTGTGATTTCTTAATTTGGTATTCATAGTTCTACATGTGTTCGGTCAACAAGTTATTTTTCTTGCACATAGTCTCCAAGTTAATTGACATTTTCTTTTTCGTCCAGAGTTGTTGGTACTTGATAGTAAAGTAACAAAAGTCTTATTAACGTAACATATTCCTAGGGAACCCTTTCAGCTCATTGTCACCAAAACATAAAGATCATCTAGAGTATCTCACAAATATCTCTATCTTTGCACATTGCTGTTTGACAGACATATACCTTGCTACTCAAAGCAAAAGCTTATGTGCGACACAAAATAGTGTTTATTTTAGGTAGATCAAGTATGTGAAAGAAATTAACAGAACAAAACATTATGTCATTATAACCAAAATATGCACTTATTTAAAGTGATAAACACAAATATCTTTAAGTTACAGACTCTAAATTCAAGAAAATTTGTGCAAAAAAAATATAGAGAAAATAAGACTTGTTGATATATTTTAGTAACCTGCAAATTAATAGTCCAAAGATTCCAAATGTTCTTGGAACTCTTGCTCCCATTGGACCATTTGTATTTATATGCATCAGGATCTCAATTAGAGAAATCAAAATAAGAGGCTCAAACCTTTTTAGCTTTACTTCCCAACAAATCCCAAAATAACATAGTAGAATGCAGGCAATCATCAATTTTTAAATTTGAAAACCCAATAGAGAAAAGTGCTAAATGAAAGACGAATTGCACGTTACATATATATTAACCTTTTCATAAATTCACAGAAAAATCTAATGGAGTTGGGCAATAAATATACTCTCAAACCCCAAATATGAGCGGAAAAGGTACACAAGACGAAAATAATTTATTAAAATGATTAGTACCAATTAAACCAAAATTCTCGGTTCAATTAAACAATATATTACTTACTAATATCGTCCAGTAGTGCTAAATTACATAGAAGTCCTGTTTTAAAAACAAAAAAAAGGGAAAAGAAAGAAATACTTCTTTAGTTACATTAGGAATATCAAACATAAAATTAATTCATAAGAAGTGTTTAAAAAATAATTAATCTCCTGTAAGTAATTAACAAAGAAGCATGACGTAAGTAAAAAAATATATATATCATCCATTAAAATTATTAACTGATAGATTTGATTGAATGAAAAATAAGAAGAACGGACCAAATATCTAAACCGATATAGTTTGAGTACTTTTAGAAACTTTCGAACAAAATATAAGCAAGAATTGATGAAACACTTACACACAGTAACTTTGAATAGCCATTTCATAATCTGAGTCTCCTGACAAATACCCAATTAAAGAAACTTCAAACTGCAAGAGGCCATGAAAAATGGAGATACATTAATAACAATGAGAGAAGTACTAATTTATCAACAAGAAAATGTTCCATTACCCTTATACGGAGCGAAGTACTCTCATCGCATCCTCCATCAACTTCAAAACATAACCAAAAAGTTGATTTATATTAATTATCCACATAAAATTAGAGAGACGGAAGAATTCATTGTCGGAGAGAAAAGATACGACCTAGTGAGGGAATAAGAGAGAAGTTGGAAGAATAGTATTTGGGGTTTAAGTGAAAATGAATGTGGAGACCAGTTGTTGCCCACAAAGGTAAAAACAAATACATGTCTATGAAAAAAGGGATAGTAAATTCAAATGCATACACGTGGTTAAGTAGAAAATAAAAAAAAAAATAAGCTCAAATTTATGTACAACTTACGGAACGTTTGGTACAATTATTTCATGTTGCGTTCGTCCTTCTGACTGTCACTTACATATAGGGGGAGATTAGTAAAATCAAAAATTGATTTTTAAAAAATAAATATTATTGTCAGTCAAAAGAAGATAGAAGATGTTGCATCACTCTTTTTTTGGTCTAGCTTTAAACTATATGTAATATAAGAGTCTAGTAGAAAGAATTGATAATATGTGTTCTTAAATAGAGAAAATAAATGAGAAAAGACATAAAATTATCATTGAAGTTGTTTTGAATTTTTAAAAAGACACATTAACTTTGAGGATATCCTATTATCTCATTAAACAATTTCAAAATAGAATATATACCTCATTTTTCACTAAATACCACTTATTCAAAAATATTTGTATGTCACGCACTAATAATCACTTGCCACGTGTGGAAATAATTTTTAATTATTTTTATCTAATTTTTGTATTTCTTTTATTTTTCTTTTTTCCTTTTTCTCTTTCTTCTTCACCTCAAATATGTTCTTTCTTTTTCTCTTTCTTCTTCATCTCAACTGAGTTGTTCTTTTCCATTCTCTTTGTGCTGCAGCAACATCAAATCCATTGTGACTGAGAAGATCTCGCAACAGCACTGTTAATTTTCAGTTGAATTACTATCAATTAATTTATTTATGAAAATAAATATCGTTAATTAATTAAAATTTAAGTACTCAAATATTACCAAGTCAAAATCTGACATTTAAATTATCACTTTCTCTAACTCTTACTTTCTAATTGAATTTTTCATAGTTTAACTACTCCAGATTCCAATCTTGATTTGTAAGAGAGAAAAAATCACTGAACTAATTTATTTTTTTAAAAATAAAACTGAATAACATTAGTTTAAATATAAAACATCAAAAAGGATAAAATAGAAAAAGAAAAAAAATGAAGTCATAGATTCTCAAGAAATATCAGTAAGCTAATGATGGTAGGGAAGTTGAGAAAAAAGATTTAAAAAATTAAAAACTATTTTTAATAAAGTTAAATAATACATGAGTTTTAATAGTTTTTTCAATAAGGCAAATTGGAAGTGCCAAATGACAATTTTACCTTGGTAGCAAGCTGTATCAACAGTCCTTCACTCGCCCATATGTTGTGACAACACGAGTGGTATAAAAATTAGTCAAAATGTTATATTTATCATAGATTTAGATAGTTTTGTGGGGTTATAGGACACTCGCAAAGTTAAAGGGTCTTTTTGAAAATTCAAAACAACTTCAATGATAAATTTATGTCTTTCCTCAAAATAAAAAGATGGGATCTTTTGTAACTCACGAGATATATAATTAGATTAATAATTATGATAGAATTTTTTAAATTATTAATTAAATTGATTTATGAGAAGAATAAGAAAAAAAATCAAAAAAAGGAGATAAAAGATAAATAATTTTCTAGGCTATAAAAATATTGTTTTTCATCGTAATTGAAATAAGTTCATATTATATTTGGCAAAATTATTACATAACGCTTCTTTTCAAAAAATATATAATTATAACCTAGTGTAAATTTAACTCTATATTATCAAATTAATTTTTGTTTTCTCATATATAAAAAGGGCAGCAAAAGACATGGATATAATTAAAAAATATACTTTATATTTTGAAAGTCTCCATCAATTGATTTGCTTACTAAGAACAACAGGGAGTCTATAGTTCTTTTATTCAGTCAAAAAGTGCGGTCCAATTTCACTCAATTGACAACGTTTATTTTTTAAAGTATTTTTAATTGTATGTCACGCACCTTACGAGGCGCATGACTTGCGATAAATAATTTTACGGCATCAATTTTTTATCATTATCCAATAATAGATGTGATGACACTCGTCTTATCCCATAAAGACAAGTCAATCTAAAACTCAGTCATAATTAAGTGTGGACATAAAACAAAAGTTCAATAATAATTCAACTTAATTCAAACCCCAAAACTGGTTGTCTCGTGCACAAGCCTCTAATGTAAATACTATAATTGAAATAAAACACACAAGTCTAAAATGAAGTTGTCTTTCAAGTAAAAACAAAGTCATAAACAGGAGTAGAAAGGTTCGCTGAGATGACAAACAACTACCTCATAATTCTCCACAAGATGCCTCAGAAAGGAAGAGAATATAAGGTATCACAAAGATCCAGGCTCGTAACCTACAAAAATTTGTAGAAGCAAGGGGTGAGTATCAAACCACACGGTACCCAACAAGCAAACCTCTAATCACAAGATAAGAGAACAAAATACGGGTACTCCTTACACCCTATCTGAACCTCCACACTACAACCTGCATAAAACCAGCTCATCCTAACAGTTCACAAGCAACCGGCTCAATAACAACACTCCAACAAATTACAATTCTCAATAACAACTCAATATTCGTCAGTCACAAGTTTAACAGAAAATCACTTACAAGATCAACAAAACTCAATTTCAAGTTCATCAATGATCAAAATGTGCAATGCCACTAAATGCAATGTCAAATACAGTGATGCATGTCTGACCTATGATACAAATACACACATTGTCTCTTGGGACCCATGGTGGACATATTTGTCCATGCATCCATCGCGGAGTGTGATACGATCCTCGATAATACTAACCATCGCGATGACGATACGTCCTTTGAAATATAATATTCATCACGGCGCACGATATGATCCTCAAAATGATACATCCTATTATCACATAACACTTATCACAACCATGTCTCAGATCAATGCAAATGATATGCTCAAATAAAAATGAGGAGATAATCATTTTGACAACAAGACACAATTTACAACAATGCAACTGTGATACAACACCAATAAATAAGCAAAAAGCCTCCAAATCATTCTCAAACATCACACAAGGAAATACACGAATTTCATACGCTTAACAAGGGTTTAGAAATCCATTTGCCTCAAATAACCGATCAATCACACCGGGATTTGAGTCTTCCCTTTTTGTCGAGCTTCCAAACCAATGCAATTTAAGTACATATTCACAATAATGTTTCAAAACTAACAACATCCATATTACTATAAGTTTACCTAGGTCCAGAAGATCACCCAAATCTATAATCAAGTTCCTAAGTTTCAAGCTTAGGGTTATGTCCCAGTTCTTTTCCAATATTCATAATTTAAATGGTATTTATATGATACGATAGATCTAATATTTAATGATCTATCCGCGGAAAGAACACAACATTCAAACCCCAATACGCCACTGGATACTCATTCTAATTACTAATTTCCATCCACCTATGTACATAAATCATTACACATTAAAATATTCCTAAAAACTATTCACTATAATTTTTCCAGAACCCACGTTGACATTTACCAATTTCCAATGCTTTCATTTATGACAAATATTTTGTCCTTTCTCTTTTTCAATATAAGGATTACTTTTCAACACTCACTCTCAGAACAAATTCACACTCATTCATACATATTGCCATAAGCTTGCCCTTATTTTCACTGCTTTAAGTTCGCTATACAACTTTTAGGATCACGATAGGACTTTCTTAGTTTGTAACATAGGCTCAGGGTTAGGTAGGGTATATTTAGGTATACTTTAATGACTTGTTTCCCTCCTTGACATATCGGCTAAACATACCTCTTTTCAGCATTTTATTTCTCCCAATTTTTCATATTCTTTTACCTTGCTATTTTCCCTTCTTTCTTCATTTGTGTAAGTGACTCTCTTCTTTTCTTGCTTGTTTTTATTTATTTATTTATTTCACTTTTCTTTCAACTAATTCTTGAGTCACTTTACTTTTGTTCTTTCTCTCTCTTTGTTCTTTTAATTCCACTTTCCAGAGCATTCCTCATAATAGCCATTCTCAACTCATGGCTTTGCCATGAGTCAAAGTACACAATACCCAAAGTTGGGTCAGGGCCATAAAAAGGGTTGTTTACTGCATTAGTCACCCTCAACTTATGATTTTGGCATAAGTTGAGGTGCACATGTCCAAGGAGGGACCAGGACCAACACATTATTCTCAGAAAAGATCAGTTGGGCTGAAAAAGAAAGGTCTAGTTTAAGCTCAAATCATTTGGATCAAAGAAGGATTAATTTCATTTGGTTTTCTTTTATTTAGGCTAAAAATGGTCTATATTGAACAAGGGCCTATGATCCTTTCCTAATTGTCTATTACAGCTTACTTTTAGCAGGACTAACAAGGCAAGTTCTAGCTCAGTACAAATAGTGGACTAATCGAATCTTCCTCACACTCACTTGACATCTCATTACTCTACCAGATTATCAGACATCTAGTTCGAATTTTGGACTTAGGGTCATGCGGTGGTGTACCTCTATGCCATGCTTAGAGCCACACATTTATCAATTACTATGCCTAGTCATGCATCGTTTTCATTTTATCAGGATATCATTTTAGCCATCATGCTTCAGAATTAAAAAATGTACACAAGATATAGACATGCCGGTTCAACAAAAAAAATAATCAGTCTCTTGGGGAAAAAGAACACAGGCAAGAAAACTCCAAAAGAGCATAGTGAATTGGGCTACTCATACTTCACCCTAACACTCACTTTCCATTTACCCCACCCCCAACAAAAAGACATGCAGTTGTCCCTAATGCATAAAAAAAATTGAAATACAAGAGTGGTAGGTGAAGCAAACCTGGGGCGCAAAGCGCCAACGATCAGCAAGTTGGTGGTCCGGTTCCCCTGAACCCACTACCTCTGTAATCAAGTAAGGGCCAGTCAGTTTGGACTTGAGCTTGCCCGGAAGCAAACGCAACCTAGAACTGTCTAAAAGCACCAAATCCCCAACCATAAACTCTCATCTTTTACTTTTTAGTTCATTATCCTTCTCCATCTTTTCTTTGTGGGATATGGCAGATACCAATTGGAGCTCACCACTCTGCCTCATAAACCTACAAATGTTGAAGGTCGCTTCTTTCATTGTTCAACCGAAATTTCATCTGCCCCTTTTTCATATCAACTAAGGCTCTACCCTTAGCAAGGAATGGCCTCCCAAGAATAATAGGCACTTCAAAATCGACTTCACAATCAAGAATAACAAAATCTGTCGGAAATATGAACGACTCCACTTTTACTAGCACACCGTGGAGTATCCCTATAGACCTTTTCACTGTTCGATCAACCATCAGTAGCCGCATCGCAGTGGGCTTTGGGT